GCAGGAGAAAGTTGCGGCGAAAGCTCTGAGCCGGCGACTAGCGGGTGCGCGCGGGGACAGGAGGCGCGGGGCCCCCGGTGGCTCGCTGCCGGCGCTGGGACTCTCGGCGACTGATTGCTTTCCCTGCACCTTGCAGACATCGGGGCGAGCGAAGTCGGGAGAGGCCTGGGACGCCCGGGGTAGTAGTGAAAGGCAGCCCTGGCCACGCGCGTCGGCCCGGGTGGGGCTCCCTTAGCGGGCGACACCGGGAAGAGGACGTCGGGGCGCCCTGAGCCTGGCCCCTGCAGCGCAGGGATAGCTGCCCGGCCGGGCGGTTCCTGGGCTGGGCTTGGTTCAACAAGCTTGTGCAGTGAAGGAGCCTGACCCTTTCCGTTCATACAGGAAATCTTGAGTTCTCGATAGGAGTAAATCTGGTTTCTGAAGCTGTTAAGTGTTTTCCTGGCTGCATGAAGCAGACCCTTCCCCCGGAGTAGTGCACGCTGCTGATTATTTTATCGACATCCTCAATACAGACAAATTCAGGAAACACTCGACGTCTGATAGGCAGGATCCGTTTTTCTGATATTGTTCATTTCCTCTGTGTGGGATGTGACTTTATGGCAGCTAAAATAACCAGTTGCTTCCTCTCGGCCTCCCCCCCCCCCGTGGGGGGGGGTTTTGCGCTGGTGTGAAGCCGGACGCAAGCAAAATCTCGAAAAAACAATGCCAGCTTTGAAAATGTTTAGGTGTAGGCCCGAAGGCAGAAGAACGGACATACGGACGCACCGCTACTACTTTGGAGTAGGAAGGTGCAGACCCCGAACAGTTAGGAAGGGCGGTGAAGACAACGCTGTCTGCGTGGGATTTTCGGGTTCCCGCAATGTTCCTAAGAAATAAATAAGCAACGGTGACGGAGTTCGGGGCCCGAGTCCCTCCTCTCCTGCGCGGTCCGATGCCCCAGAGCGAAAAAGAAGGGCTCACCAGGGTTTAAAGTCAACACCCTGGCAGTTTCACTGGGGACCTAGGAGAAAATTAACATTTTAATGAATTAGCATTTTAATGCCAGCATTATTTTGACGCAGCCTCCAGCGCTCACCTCCTCTCACCGCTACCGGGATTTGGGGTGTGGGTGTTATAATTCTGTACTTTAAAAGTTATATTTGTATTTTTAAAATTTCAACCTGCAGGGTGTGTGACCGCCCCCCCCCCCCATCCCCTATGGGACAGGAACGGCCCTGGGGTAAACGTTTTCACAGAGATCGCCTTGGTTTCCTTGGGTTTCTGCTGGGCCTGAGTAGAAGGAAGCTTTTTTTTTTTTTTTTTTTTTTTTTTTGAGACAGACCAACAGGAAACACATTGACGGAAATGTTGCCATAGCCCACGGGGTGGCTTTAACTGGCCGCCCCCGCAGGCCGAGTGTGAAATCAGAGGAGGCCGAGGTGTGCTCCAGCCACGATTGGAGGCCCCACTCGAGGCCTAACACGAGCGCCCGGCTAGCGCTTCTGTGCAACCATGCCTTAGGAAGTTTAACAATCCCACTCCCCCTCTTAAATGCCCCCACTGGATCCTTTGCAAAAACTTAAGTACACACAAGAGCTGGTCGGTTAAAGAAGATCGCGTTTTAAGCCCGGCAGGGCTTCTCTCGGGGTTGAGAAGATTTGTTTGCATTTAGCCACAGGTGTGATGGTCGGGTGGTGCGGTGTCTTGAGCATCCAAGCTGGTTTGTGTGTTAATGCAGTTTAGCTGACTTTGTGCGGTGGTTGGGGCTATTGAGTCCCTCTGTACACCTGAGAATGTATGGGCTGGGAACAGGTCTGCGTTTTGGCCTCCCCACGTCGTGTCCCCTGGGATCAGGTAGGTCTGGGGACTGCCCAGAGGACCCCAGCGGCCGTGGTTCACCCGCCGTTCTTCTGGCCCACAGGCAAGCCCCTGCTCTGGAGCCCCTTCCTACAACGGCCCCTGCACAAAAGGAAAGGTGGTCAAGTGAGGTTCTCCAACGACCAGACCATCGAACTGGAGAAGAAGTTCGAGACTCAGAAATACCTCTCCCCGCCTGAGAGGAAGCGTCTGGCTAAGATGTTGCAGCTCAGTGAGAGACAGGTCAGCTCACTGGGTCCCACAACCCCAGCTGGTTTCTAGGGCTGAAGAAACCACGGAGCGGTGCGCTCTGGGCACGTTCTGCCTCTACCCAACTGTAGGACATAGTCCCAGTCCCCTCTCCGCTCCTCCCCAGGTCTCTCGGGATTTGGAACTGTCTGTAAACTTGCTTTCTTTTCTGTAGGTCAAAACCTGGTTTCAGAACCGACGCGCTAAATGGAGAAGACTGAAACAGGTATTGACACGGCTCCGTTTCTATGGAAATAAATGTTTGTATCATGTTATCTAAATGCGGAGACCTGTTATGGGTTGTATGCAAAAGTCATTTGAAGAGACTATTTAACCTCTTCACCTTGATTAAAAAGGCAAATAGTCCTGCTGAAATTCAGGATGAGTTGCTCAGGTGGCACTAATGCTAAAAGCACCTAATGCAGTTCCTATATCAATTAGCTAGGGCTTCACACACCGGCCAGTAAACCGCCTGGCTAATTGTTTTATAAACCCCATATGTTGTTTATCTCATTAACGCAGGAAAGATAAAGTAATTGACAGTAAATGACTTAAGTAGTTATCTTTGGGAGAAAATTGTTTCTTTTATTTACACAGCCATAATAAAACCAGGCAGGATTCAAGGGTAAATATAAAGACACAAACACCTTTAAGTCTTATTTGCACTTTTTGAAAAGAATTAAATATCAAAGAGTTTAAAAATTATTATCCATCTTTGCCAGCTCTTAAAATGAATATAAAACACATAAATTGCCAGGCCTATTTGGAAAGTAGCTTAAACTTCCTAAGGGGTCCTTCAATAACCTTATTAAGAAATATGCAATTAAGAAAAAAAAAAAGTAAAGGGAGCATCCTCCAAAGCTACCCTGCTGACTTAGAGCTAAAGATTTGTTTTTGGGGTCCCAGATGGGATGTTTCCAGTTCTCTGACAACCGCTGAATGAGTCCTGTGCACCTATGCTTTAAATCAGAGAGGATGGCTTGGAACAAAACGGGTTGCCAAGTGGGAAAATTTAGTGTGGATCTTAAATTGTATTGATCACACTTTATATTTAAAAAGAAAAAAGATGCTATCCCAAAGGACATTTTGAAACAACAAAAAGCTTCTTGTAGCTTTATTATTCGGAAGTCTTTGAGGAGTCCCCTCTCATCACTAACCTTGTATGGTTTCTTCAGACTTGCTCGCTGAGGATTACAATGTTTCTCTATAGTGTTTATATCCCTGTTAGACACCCATTAGCTTAAACACTCTCTGGCTGGACTTGGTTCTTATTCAATGGCTTGGAGCTAGTTTCCCAATGACTTTTAAAATGGTACTTTCTATGAAATGTGGGGAACTTTTCCCCCAGGAAATTTTGCCTAGATTTTAAGCAAATTGCAATCGCTTCATCAATATTATTTGGTCCTGTGATTTTTCTTTGTCTTGATTTTGAAATTTGGTACACAGTTATGTGTATATGTGCTCATAAATTAATTACTTCAGAAGACCAACAGAAAAGGATTTAATCTATAATTTTGAAACTTCTTAATTTAGTGTATGTTTTTCTTTTTCTTTTTTTTTCTGGGGGGTGGGCCTTAGTATAACAAATCAGCCATTAATATTTGTTCTTTAAGATGATAGAAAATGCTGTCTGGGGCAATATTTAAAGAGCAAAGACAGTGCAGCCTGGGCTGAACTGAGTTTATTTTTTCTCCTAAGCTGAAAATCTTGATCATGGATCCGTGTTACATATAATCTCTCTCTGATGTGACTTCTCCCTCTTCTTTCAAATGGGGACAAGAATCACAAGTGTGTCTTCTTAGGAAAGAGATTTTTAGATGAAAACAGTTGATAAACTAAACTCTATAAGCAAGCTAAAGGTTAGGGGGAATCCATTTTGATTTTTATGTCTTTGATCTCACCATCTGCATTTTCATTCCCTTCTTTCAGGAGAACCCTCAAAGCAATAAAAAGGATGAGTTGGACAATTTGGACACTTCCTGTGGCCAGGGCCAGGACTCGCCCAGTGAACAGAATAAAGGCGCCTCTTTGGATAGTTCTCAGTGTTCACCTTCCCCAGCTTCTCGGGAGGACTCTGAGATCTCAGAGGATTCGGACCAGGAAGTGGACATTGAGGGTGACAAAGGCTACTTTAATGCTGGATGACGGTCACCCGCGTCGTCCAGAGACTGGACTTGCAGATAATGTTTTGCTACAAACTGGAAGACTATGGGAGAGAAAAAGAATGGCATTCTTGTAGTGTTCTGAAACTGTTTAGTGCACTGGCTAATTAACAAATATGCATTGAAACCTTAATTTTGACTTTACAGATGGTATATATATATATATATACACACACACACACACACACATACACACACACACACACATACCAGTTTTAAGTTGCTTTGATAAAGTGACTAAATGCATCCCCATTAATTTCTATTTATGAGAAATAATTTGAGCTTTCATTTAAAACTTAAATTATAACTTTAAAGGTTTTAATAGGCTGTGCTTGAATGACTTTTCCTAAAATCTGTGGCTATACCCTCAGACTTCAGAGGGTCACTTAGAAAGGGGGCCCACATTTGTGGCTTCTTGGAGCAGTTTAAAAGGACACTCTCGACTTTTACATATACCTTACATTGCTCCCTTAGCTCCAATGCCATTCCCGAGCATCTGGCTCCAGGGGTGTGCGCTTATAAGCAAGACAGTTGATAAGGTTCTGAAAATCTTGTTTTGCTCTCCCAGTGCCTTTGTTAAGGGATGGCACAGTCTGACAGGCAGGGAAACCGACTTGACTCATTTCTGACTGCAGGTAATCCCATGTGAGCTAGAACTAGCAGGACAATTAAATGTAAGTAGATTGTAGATAGTGTATTTTATAGAAACAATGTATAGCATGTATATAGAATTATTCAGTGTAAAAATCCTGCCAAAATGATGTTTGATTTTTTTAAAAAAAATTTTTTTACTTGATGAGTTAACTTTCGTGACCCTGTTGGAATTCTCATTCTTTGCTTGAAAAAGCCTAAACACATTACTTGAATCACTTTGGGGTATGTGTGTGTGCTTGGCACAGGGCTAGGGGTAGGGGGCCCCGTGGGCGGTGGGGTGCCCATCTCCTGGCGTGTGAATTTTGAGTTTTCTTTGGAGTGTTAGCTGGAGCAGATGTGTGTGTTGGGGACCGAGCAGAGCAGGTTGGAGCTGCTAGGAGCACCATCGATTGGTGTGTGCGGCCACTGGCCTTGACCAGCATGAGTCAACAGTGTGTCACCCTCACACTGTCAGGAGCAGAGCTGCTGTGTTTTGTGCCCGGCAAGGAAGGGTTTGGAGGAGCCAGGAGACTTAGAAACTCTGGGAACGTGAAAGTCAGCGGCTTAGAGAGAATCTGAGCGATAGCCACTGCTCTGAGGTGCTAGCCGGTGGGACCAGCACTCTGCCTCGCCCCTGCACACGGGTTTCCCTTTGTTAACTCCATCCAGTGCTGGGGACAACAAGCAGAAGCAGGAAACATTGGGAATCTGATGGCTGGGAAGAGTGGGTAGGAAGAGTGCTGGCAGGCGGATGCGGCCCTGGGTATTAACCTGCTGCCTGTCTAGCTGAGCCCAGGTCTGACGGGCCTCCCACAGAGACCTGAGTAGAGGCCCAACTTGGCCTCTGTGGAGTCTTGTAGTTGTTGTAAACAGCCTGTGACAGAATCTGTCTGAAGAAATCTGTCGCTCATACGTAGACATCCAGGAGAAGATGGATTCTCACACTCTGCCTCCCGAGAGTCCAAGAAGGCCATGGAATTGTGGGTGAATTCAGTTTCCACAAAATACTGAGCACTGACTGGTCCTTAGGCAGAGGGCAAAGGTAGGCCTGGAAGCTTAAAAGTCGTTGTAATTTTAGTTCTTTGTCTCAGAACTTTGAGAGAATGTCCCAATTGAGCTACGTGACAGGCTCCAGGTCCCCCAGTCCCAGCTCAGTTCATGCTCTGCCCGGCCCTGAGTGTCAGAACCCAAAGGAGCCATCCAGAGGGAGACTTTTGTTTCCAGTCAGTGGCAGGCCCCTAGTTCTAGACCTGCCTAACTGGTTACATGAAGTTTCAAAGGCCATAGTCGGTCTGCTCTGAAAGCGGCACTGTCTGTATCCACGTTCTGGAGAATGAGGCATTTGAATGGAATTAAAATGATCCTGAAATCTCTGTGTTTCATTGCTGGAGATAACCTCTGGGTAATGTTTACTCGCGGGAGGAACTGGATCATGACTGCTAGGCAGAAGGTCAGCAGCTTCTGTATTGATTGACACTAGAAAAGCTAAGGGGTGAAATCTTGTTTTAAAGTGGACAATTCGCTGAAAGTCTGCTGTTTTCCAATTGGAAGCTAGCCCAGGTTCCCTTCAAGTCGCTCGGGTTCTGGTTCTATACGTGTCCTTAAGACTTGAGCGTGTTGGTTGGAGGAGGCACAGCCTTCTCAGGACGCAGGTTAGCATTAACTCTTCAGAAGGTGCTGTTACGGACTAATGGATATTTACAGACTCTTCCTACAATCCAGACATTTCCCCCTTGTTTGTCCTTTGGCTGGCTCACGTTGGAGCGGCATAGATGGCCCGTATGGTACAGCTCCTGTCTTGTTCTTTAACTCTTTTTATCAGGAGATTCAACTTGAAAAACGGTTATCATTTAGCAGAAAGACAAACAGAAAAGCACATTTTTGTAAGCAAAACGTTAATGATTGGAAGAATTGTCCTAATTTCGCCATGGCAGTGTGTGATTAATCCCCTGGGTCGTGTACTTATACTTTAAGTTATTCAGTTCATTGCTCTTTGATATCCAGAATCCTGCCTAACTTAATAGGGTATTGATCTTGCTGGATGATGTACTTTGACTCTTTACACAACATCACTTTTAAGGATGACTAGTCTGTTGCATACTATTTTATTTAGAGAACTCTTGCGTAAGGGTTCTTTTTTCTTTTTATGGTTTTTCTCAGGGTGAAAACTGATAAGACATCTTGTGGGAAAAGCGGAAACCATCGCTGATAGTGAAAGTACCTATTCTCTCTCAGCATCTCTGACAAGTTCTTTCGTTTGTGGTTTTATCACTGTGAATATTCAGCTTGGTTAAAATGTGGACAGGACAAGGATTCAAGAAAGCGACTATTTAGGTTCGGGTGGGGGGGTGGGGAAGTGCCCTTTACTAGGGCTGGAAGACCCCAGAATTTCCACTCTAGCCATACTGCCTGTGGAAATGATTTCTCTTTAAAATCCCGTAATTTGTGATCCAGTGAATCTGTGACTGGAGGTTTTATACACACATGAGTGCGTACACACACGAGTGCGTACGCACATGCACACGTACATACACATACAGACACAACGGAATGTGGAACACCAACACCAGCCACCCTGGATGTTATCTTGTCATAATAATCACACTCTGTACTAACATTTACTTTTTATCCACTGGGTTTTTTTGAAACCCCAGGTGGACTCTGTAAGAGCCCAGGATAAGTTCGTTCTTTTTTTTTTATTTTTGTTTTTGTTTTTGTATTGTTATCTAAACATGAAGCACTTGGCAGATTCCTTATCAGAACTTGAAGGTTCACAGAACAGCAGCTCCTGAGGCAGCTGTAGTAACCCGGAGGCAGGCAGCCGGGAGTCCCCTCCCTGGCTGCCTGGGGATCTGTATTCTAGCCTCCAGCCCTTTGGATGCCACACTTGGGAGGAGTCATCTGTACCTGAAGCCCAGTGAATGCCACTGGCCGGCAAACCCAGGAGTCTAGGCCGCAGCCCGTGTCTGCAGACGTTGGACACGCACAAATCTCTTCAGACTGAGCCGCTGTAGGAAGGAGAACTTGGAGCTGCCATTTCCTGGCTGCAGAGGATCATGACTTTGGAGCATCCGGTGGCCACCGCAAGCTTTTCGAAGCTGCCCACGGTTTTCCTGCACAGCTCTTATCTTTCTTTTCCCTTTTCTAGGGGAAGGAGGAGGTCATTGATCACTTAGGGTGATTTTTTTTTCAGATGAAAACCAGTGAGAACGGCTTTCTATTGTAGAAAGTTTAGTCAATGTGTTATTTTTCTAATCCTCCTTTAGGATCCCTTTTCATTTGAAAGGGGAGTGAGTGCCATTACAAAAACAAGAGCAACAATTAAAAAACCTTAAGATATGCAGATGAACAAGTATGGAGGAGCTAACAGTAAAGGGTCCCCTCCCAGTATTCAAAAGTACTTGTAGGGAAAGAGGCCTGTTGGGCCTGTCTCAACCTTTATATTTTTATATATTTTATAGCTTCATCATATCCTTCCATCTTTCCTCACACTTTCTTTTTTTTGTTCTTATTTATTCTCCCATACCCAGGATGCTTTACACTCATTTAGTTTATTTTTCCATTAAGAACAGAAAATGAATAATCTCAGCTCTTTAGATGTCAGTGTAAGGGGCAATGTTTTCTTGAAATTTGCATCAGCGTTCCTCTTTTGGCTGGGCTGAGAATCCCTTAACTGTGTGAGGAGTCAAGCAGTACCAGGACCTCCCCAGAAGATCAACAGTAACAGAACTGATAGGGTCCAGGCACTTGGCACCCCTGGGGCACATGGATGCTTTGGAGAGGATGGGGCAGAGCCAGTCAGGGCTCATAATTTGAAGAAAGAAAATGGGATGCTGGCTCATAAAGAGGCTTGGCCAAGAAGTCAGGTCTGGAGGTGGAAGAGGGCAGGGAAAACGTACGACTTTTATCATCAAAGGTTTTTGGATTTCAGGATTTTGCTAAGGGATTGTATACCCATGCTCTCCTCCATTCCTTGCTTTTGCATGTACAGTTCCTCTCTCTGAAGCTCCCTTCTGCTGGGTAACCTCATGGCTGTCTCCTGACATGCACCCTGAACCCAGCCATCCTGCTAACTAAACCAAAACAAGGACCATTTCCTTGTTTCCTGGGGGAAATGGCCGTAATAAAATACACGACCTCGCTTGAAGTACTTTGGAATGAATGTTTTAAGTTAGTATACAAAGCAATGAGTTTTATCAGGGGCTCTTCATTCATGTGGGTCGTAGTTTATTCTCATTCTTTCTCCTTCCCACTCTGCTCTCCTGTGTACCCTCTTGGCCAGCCTCTTCCTTCTTTGGGTTAGCCTCCCTGTTTTTCACGTTCATACCCTTGGCTCTCTCTTTTCCCCACCTCCTTTACAACCCCTCCCTCTCTTTGTACCTCTTTCTCTCTCTCTCTCTCTCTCTCTGTCTCTCTCTCTCTCTCTCACACACACACACATACACACACACGCTCCACACACCTCCCCCCGCCGCCCCAAAACAGGGTCTCTGCTACACAGCCCTGGCCATTCTGGAACTCTATGTAGATCAGGCTGGCCTTGACCTCACAGAGATCCACCTGCCTCTGCCTCCCTAGTACTGCACACTTTATTTCTAGATTCTCTGTATATGAAAACAACAAGCAAAAACATTTGGTATTTTTTCTGAATCTGGCTCGTTTTGCTTGATGTAACAATTTCCACTTGTATACATCTTCTTGCAAATTAATGGTTTTATCTTCCTTTACAGCAGGGTGAAATTCCACTGATACACCTGGTATATCTTTCAGAGCATTCAAAACTTGTCTGCCTCTGGTCCATGTTCTTCCATGTTCCAAACTGTATAGTATATATTTCTTTTAGGTTATCCACCACTGCGTGTTTTGCAAAAAACTCTAAACATTACAGGACAGCGGCTTCCTCCTGTTTCCCCGGCATCCAGGACTGTATTTGGCATGTTATAAGCTTTTAATGGACATTGTACAACAGAATGAAAGTGAAAGCTGTCTCTTCCCCAAAAGGTAAGAGAGGCATTTTTCTCCTCCCCGAGGCCGGCATCATCATCCTATTTCTCATTCTTTGGCCACAGGAAAAACACTTCTAGATGGCTCTAGGAACACCGCAATTACTCATGGGTCCTGATGCTGGAGAGAGGCCCAGGCTTTAGAATGGGTGGGGAGAGGACACAGGAGTCTATGGAAGCCTAAATAAGCATCCAGAGAGCCTTCCCCATTTTTACAGCATACATTTTAAGAG